TAATCCATCCATCCATCCATCATCCATCTATCTATCTATCTATCTATCTATCTATCTATCTATCTATCTATCCTGTAATTTGAAACCAAAGAAGACAAAAATCAGATGAGATTCAAGATGGAAAAGTACCATTAGCAGCTCTGCTTATATAATTCTTCTGATAAAGACCTTGCCCAATGTAATAAAGTCATGTGATCATTTCACATGTTCTACTAACATGCATGCCAGCTAACAGCAAAGCATAGATGGGCTAGTCCCTGTTAACTTTCAGGGGGCTTTATAAGGTCAACTTGTTTTGGTGGTACATTTAATTTTACTAGTATTCCAAAAGTATTCTTGATTCGCAGATCAGAGCTCAAGAACATATAGTATAGAGTTTATATTCTCACAAATAAATTCACATTGGGGTTGAGATTGTGAGCCAACGATTCATTATGCTAATCTCATTCTTTCTCAGCTTGATAGCTACAGTGCAAATAGGCAAAAGATTGAAACCAAGAAACTCTACACTATGGAAGGGAAGAGGGAAAAGAGGAAGAGGAAGAGAGCTGTCTGAAAACTCCAAAGACGCAAACTCTTCATTTCTCATTTACATCTGATTAAACCATAACTGGGAAGTAGGTATTAATGCTGCATAAATTCACTGCTTACTCCAGTTTGCTAGAGATAAAGACTCAATTAAAGGAAGTATATTAATAACTGGTTAGGTTGGAATTAACTCATGGTTAGCATTACTACAAAAATAAAAAAACAAGACAAAATGTTATGTGATTAGTTGATTGTTCATTCGTTGGAAGGACACAAATACACAGTACACTAAATGAAGGATTTGCTTCAGGTAACAAAATACCTGTGTGGTTTTGCCATGCACTGTTTTACAAATATGGCACAAACAGGTGACAGGGACAAACAGACAAGGACTCAACAATGGTGCTTGTACCTTTCTCTACCACAATGGACTGAAACACCAAAACAGGAAAGCCAGGAATAGGCCGATGAATACGGCTTGGATGGGCTGTATTATGGAGGGCTAAAGAAGGGCAAGGATATTAAAATCATTTTATGCTATGAAAAAACTCAGATAAGATGATTTAGACCCCAGGGGTTGGAGAAGAAGAAAAGGAAGACAGGTAATTGCACTTTACCATTCAGGTTTTGCACTGATTCAGACATTTAAAAAAAGACATCTAACACAATTCAGAATGGTTGGCTGGTATGTATACTGACAAGCTACTAGTGTAAAAGGAGCAGCTGGAGACAACAGTCTATGTTGTTGTCCCTCATAGCCTGATGAACTATAACGCAATGAGGCAGGACAATGATAGCACCTCATCAATTTTTCAATAAATGGTTCTGTTCCACATTGGACTCCCACTATTTGATTATATATTCACATGGCAATGGCTAAGGTATATTTTATTCTTCCATCAAAAACCAATCACTTATGAGATGGTACTGCTTTAAAGCTTCAAATTCATGTTTTATGATGTGAACTTAATTAAGCAAGAGATGTGACACAAAGTATACTGAATAGGCAGCCAAAGCTCAAGGCTTTCCTTATAATACCAGAATCTCTCTCCCTCTCTCTCTCCCTCTCTCTCTCTCTCTCTCTCTCTCTCTCAAATAGGAAGGGAATTACTTAGAACTGTAAGTCTAATATCAAAAAGAAAAAAAAGGAAATTCACCCCCTAAGGTGAATAGTTTTATACAACTACAAGTAGTAACAAGGTTACTTTGAACAGTTCCTAAATACATAAAGGGACAGTATTCTGATTATGTAAGATGTCTTCATAGGTTAATTTAACAGGAAGTGGACTGTTAAATTAATTCATTATCAGATATGAATTAATACAAAAGAAACCAAAATATTATGATCTGATTTTAGAAGAATTCTATAATCTACACTTTAAAAATAAAAGGCAATCCATTTCTCTTTCCCATACTCCTCCATTTCTAGAGAGCTTCTACCTAAGCAGCAATCCTTTACTATCTAACATCTATGACTTTCATAAGCAAAGACAGCTGGACACAACTCATGAGCATTCTGTGACAACTGCATAACTGGATAGCTGTGCAACATCACTCTTTTGCACCTATGGTACCAGTTAAGCAGAGTGCCTTTTTCTGCAGGAAGCACATGCACCACATCCACCATAGTGTCCAAGCCATGACAGATTTGGAATAAGTCAAAGCACAGTCAATCACAGTGAACATCCATTGGTTAGGGCCCACAAAGGCAATGGTCACCAAAACATCCAACATGACATTTATTTAGTGTAACATCTTCTTAAAGACCTTTCTAAAAAATGAAAAACAAGTATTATCAAATTAAATTTATAGCAAAATGGTTCTTCATCTCTGTCTGCCTGCCCTCCATATCTCTCCAACATGCATTTAGAAAGCCCCACAGAAATTTACCAAATATTTCCTAACACTAACAGAGGCTAAACAGACAACAAGCTTTTAGGAATGTAGATTACTAATAGAAAATGAAATCCATACTATAGCTCTGCTTTCTCATACAACCAAACACTGAGGATCTGCATGTAACACTTTCTTTTAAATGGGCCCCTGATGGTATACTGCTTCATTTCCCAGCAAGCAAGAAACAAAGAGCTCAGTGACAGAACTTCAGATTCATATAGGAAAACCAGATCATTCCTGATAAGCTGTTTTATTGATAAGGTTCTTCTGGTAGGCTGGCTTCAAACTCTTCTAGTGGTCTAAGTTAAAGGGTAAAATTCTTAAAATCCTCACAGCACAATGATTCTATCATATATTTACACAATGAAAAGTATACTTTTGTACCCCAGGCTATTAGTTTCCCTAATCAGTAATAAAGCCTTCTGAAAAATAGATCTCAAGCCTCTCACTTTCCTCTTGGTCAAGGCTGAACCAAGCTGGCAAACACTTGACAAACAATTATTTCCTTTCTCTCAGAGGAGCTTCAGGTTGTCTTTACATTGTTTGATCTCATCTGTGATTGACTGCTTTTCCTGATCAGTCATTTCAAACTTCAACTTCAGTTCTGAGAGTACAGTCTGTGTCCTTTCATACTAAAGGCAAAGAAAAAAGAGTGTGCAGACTTGACTTAAAATGGGTACGAAGTTACGGTTCTAGTCAGGTATACATACTAGGCCCTGTTTAGTAACTTTCAACACCAAAATCAAGCCTTTCTGTTCTAAGAAGGGTAAGCATCATTGACACTCACAGTAAGTCTTTCATGTTGACTTAATTCTGTGTAATATTTTTCTGGCCCTGATGTTAAAGATAAAGAAGAGAAGAGCATTTTGTCATGTTTCTAATATAAAGGGTCACGTTTTCTGTCGTGAGAAGAATATTTAAAAGTTTTCTTTCGAGCAAAAGAAAAGCAGGTAAAGGAAAAATTCTATAGCCTAATTAAATGGTGATGTTATCAGGTCAAATGCATATCCTGGTAAGAAAGCAGTGTTAATGAGGCTATTTAGTTCTGAAGTAAAAGCATTAACTTCCAGGAGTTCTCCCTTGATTTGGCAGCAGAGGATTTTCGAATAGTGTGGGTAAGTGAGTTTTCTGCACAAATAAAGTAGTGTATCTGAGAGAGCCACCACCACTGACTGGGAATTTCTTGCCACTTCAAACCTATCAGCATCAATGACACAGGTCAGACCAACTTGACACAGTATGATTTGGACTCTTTTAATGTTTCCAAGAAGCTGGAATCCTAGTCTGGCTCCGCTTCTAGATACTGCATCTCACTGCACACTGGGCTCCCAAGGAGGCATGTTCTGTTGCTGGGCGTGCCTCTGTCCACTTCTGCAGCCCCATTCTGCCATTTCTGAATGTTTCAGCAAGAAGACAGAAAGATAAGGACTGAATATAAAATATATATTTAGCATGGGCAGAGCATAACAGAAAGGTTCCTTCTCTCAATGAGGATGGAAGATTTCTAGCTCCTCTCTACCTACATCCTAAACTTTCTCAATAAAAGACGCCTTTATAATGAAGCCTTTGAAAAATGCAAATCCTTTAGAGTGAAAAGAAACTCCTCAATGCTCAATAAAGATGAAAATGTAGAAAAGCGTTAGGAAAGAAGGGAATAAGGAAAGAGGTCATGGATGACATAGAACATTCCCAGACCAGGCCTGGGCAGCATGCCAAAAAATGAACTAAGGAGTAAAACTCATTGGCTTTGTAACAACCTTTTTCAGTTGATGTGAGGGTCTAAGAACTCTTCCCAGATGGCAGAAGGCCACTGGCAGGCTGCCAAGACCAAGTCAGTGTTTCTAGACTAGTTTCTCCACCTTAGAACACATCAGTTCTCAATGATCACCAAACATATCTTAACAGTAAAGAATAAGTAAAAAGTGCTTTGTTGACCAAAATTTTCCTTTACTTTCCTTTTCCACCATTTGTACATCTAAACTGTCCTTTACATCAAAGCACTTAATCATTTCTTCATTTCGGGGAGTTGTGAAGTAAACAAGAAAGCAGCTTAGTCAGAAACACATCACTGCTTACCTCCAGGATAGGAGTGAGTGAGGAAGACTTGGGCCTATGGGAAGATAGTGAAGCCAAACAATCTTAAGTTAGTCTTTTCAGAGTAGACTTAGATGCTCAATGTTTTATGTACTCTTGGGATGGCTAGTTGGTTGGGTGGTTGTTTTCTTTGAGACAGGGTCTTACTGTGTAGCCCAGGGTGGCTTCAACGCAAGACCTTCCTGTTTCAATGTCTTAAGTATGGCGATGACATGTGTATGCCACCATACTTTGTTGAATTCTTAAATTACAAATATTCTCACTAAATTAAAATATGTAGATGCTTTATAAATTCAAATATAAAGACAATATACATTTTTTTTCTCTTAATACTATTCATACTATTTCCTTATAATTATTTATGTAAAAGCTGCCATATATAAAATTTAACTAGCAAAGCAAAGTTCACCTTCCACGGTCTTAGTTTCACACCTTGCTTGGATATCATTTCTATTCCATCTTGCTTTTTAACTTTGAGGTTAAAAAGTAAGTTCAGTCTTAAGAGAGAAATGTGACATAGTATTACCAACACCTCTGGCTCTTCTTCATAAAAATAATCATATCTGGACTTCCTTAGCTTCTAATAGTTTAACTTGTTACAGTACTGAAGATACATCATCATGATACTGAGCATATTAAGCGTGATTCTATGAGAGAAAGGAGAACAATGGGAAATGTTGAAAAGGAGTAAATATGCATTACTAAAAATTAATAATGTATTTGCAGTGGGTTACACAGAGATAAAAACCCCATTAAAGAATATTTTAGTTACAGACTAGTATCCAGTATGTTGACATCAGGACAAACAGAGCAGTTTCACATTACAAAGGAATATGATGACTATACATCATTTCACAATGACAAACAGTGAACAAGAAAATAGAAAAGAAACTTACTGACAAGCTCAGACATATTTTTAAATATGCGACATCTAATGCAATTCAAAGACTACCAACAATTTAGATGCTGCGACAACATGCCAATGCCATTTATGGAAACAGGTAAAGCATTTTGCACTGATTATTCAGTGACTGAAAGCAGGCAAACAAATAATGCAACAAAATGGCTAATGTATTCACAATAGCACACAAGAGAATCATCTTCCAGCCACAGTATTCTCCCAAAATACTGAAAGAATTACGGCATATGAACTGGTAGGACACAAAGTGCTTACAGTACCAAATACTAGGATATTTACTTTGGCACAAAATTTCTGTTTCAACCAAATGAGGTTTTTCCTAAAATACATAACCTTAGCAAGGTAAAGAAGATTACAAGTTCAATCTATCTATATCTGAAAATAAAAACGTTACAGTTTTTTTTTTTCTTTAGGAACAAGCATGAAGACAGAAGAACAATAACCATTTCCAAGTTTAGGACACTCCAAGGGAAAATGCAAAGAAAAACTAGCATTAATTAAACAAATCTTCTAAATACAACTTTCAGAAAATTCATTAAAGACAAAGAGCTGACTTCAACTTCCTTCTGACTTACAGAGACTCTTTCCTGTAAGCAAGTCTAGAGCTGGGTGGTCCCTGATGAGTAAACAGGCTTTATCAACTTCTGTATCCTGAGTTGGCCAGGATACAATGCAAGGAGGCCAGTGAGACTGACCACAACTTTTACTGCCCTGCTGCCAACTTCAAGGAAATGTACCCATCCAGTTCAGAAAGACCTTGGGTGGGTCCTTTTCTAAGTCACCCCCTCAACACGATTATTTAAAAAGCTAATGAAATCAAGGTTTTAAGTAAGATTTCATGGAAACTTACATGTGCATATTTGTGAAGAAGAGAAAAAGAGGGGGGAGGGAGAAGTGCAGTGTCACAAAACAGGTGTCTCATGTAGCCCAGGCTGTCCTCAACTCACAGAGCAGCTGAGGCTGATCTTGAATTCCTGATCCTCTTGCTCCACCTCCCAAGTGCTGGGATTGCAGGTGTCTATCATCATGTCATGTTTTTTTGAGATAGGGTCTTAATTTGTAGCTCAGGCAGGCCGGGAATTCATTATGTGACCCAGCCTAGACTCGAGCTCATTGTAATCCTCCTGCCTCAGCTCCCAGAGTGCTGAGATGACAGGCATAAACCACAACACCATCTTAAGTAACTTTTTGTGCCATTTTCACCAGAGGATGTAGCTCCAGTGTTACAGTGCTATCCCCCAAAGTACTCTGCTTTAAATATGATACTCTCTCTGATAGCTAAACAATGGACCAAGTGATCTGCTACAAAGGGCTTCTTGTGCAGATCAACTGTTAGAGACAAATTAAAATCTAACTTTATATATTTATATTTTTAAAAGAAAACACTCCTGATGAATTCTCTAGATATGGACCATGATGCATAGCTAAAAATTATCAAGCTGCGTGTTCCAAGTGTCAACTTTATGACAAATAATGTGGTTTCTGCTTTCCTTTATTTCTAAGTAGCATGCGTATCTGATTTTTTTTGGCTTTAAGTCCAACCATAACTGGGCTCAGAATGCCTTTTCGCTTTGCCTCTTTCTGTACATCCTTTGCTTGGTTTTCAGCCTTACTGAGAAGAGTTTTTAAATCAGCTGAATCCCGAAGATGTTGTTCTTTCAAGTATCCCACTTGATTCTCAAGCTCTCTCCTAGTCATCTGAAGGATGCTGAGATCACTCGTAAGCTCTAAACTCTGCTTCTGAGAACTGCAATATAAATATTGGCGGTTATTGACAGGTAGACACTGGACACAGCAGGAAGCCCAAGGTCTTAAACATTTCACTAGATGAGATGGTGTGAAAAAAAAGATACTTTCAATAAGTAAAAAGCATTAAGACATTGTTTTTCAAAACTCCCTTTAAGTTTTAAAAGCTGTGTCCTCTCAATATAATAAAAGTGGTAATTTTTTTAATTTTTATTTATTTTTATTTTATGTATATGTGTGTATTGCCTGCATGTAGCTAAGTGCACCCATGTCATGCAGTGCCTGTGGAGGTCAGAAGAGGTTGTCAGATCCCCTGGAACTGGAGTTACAAACAGTTGTTAGCTGCCATGTGGGTGCTGGGATTTGAACCCGGGTCTTCTGCAAGAACAACCAGTGTTCTTAACTGCTGAGCCATCTCTCCAGCCCGATTATTTTTTTAATATTTTATTTATTATTTTTATTTTATGTATATGAGTGTATTGGCTACATGTATGTGAGTGCACTCGTGTCATGCAATGCCATGGAGATCAGAAGAGGGCTTCAGATTCCCCTGGAACGGGAGTTAAGGATGGTTTGTAGCCACTATGTGGGTGCTGGGACTTGAACCTGGGTCCTCTGAAAGAGCCGTCAGTGCTCTTAACCGCTGACCCATCGCTCTAGCCCCATATGATTATTTTTCATAATGGTATTTAAAAATGATTTATACATGAGGAAAGTAGTTTGATACGAGTGAACAAAAAGTTCTTGTTCAAAGACTAGGACATAGCTCAATGGTAGAACACCTGGTTTGATAACCAAGGCTCTGGGTTCAATCCCCAGAAATACAAATTATAATAATTCTTTGTTTAATTCCTTCAATAACAAACAAACAAAGAAAAAAGACTTACTTGGCTTAAAGAAAATTTGGCTTCCACAAGCAGCTAAAAGAATTGTTGTAACTAGAGGGCTAAGATCACACTCTGATAGTACAATGGGAAGATTTGTAGGGGTGAGTCTGATGGTATCAGGTCAATACACATAGGAACTAAATGGCCCTTAAGACCCTGTGTAAGGACAGAAGCTTACCAAATGAACTTAGAAAACTACTACAGCAAAGTTTAAGAAATGCAATTAATCTATCGTATATACCCTTTATGTGAGTTTAGGCATATGGCTTGGTATACCTTTCTAGAACCCAGTATTTTGTGTTTGTTTGTTGTGAGATGGGGGCCTCACAAGAGGTTTACCCTACCTTACTGTGCCAAATAGCTGGTACTACAGACAAGTTACAAAACATCAATTAAACTATATAAACTATAGTATTTTAAATCCATATTTCTACTACAATTAAGTCTGTAGACTTGATTCTGAACATTTAAGCAAAATTGACAATTAAAAAAAAAGACCGGATTTCAAATAATCACATCTCAAAAAGGAGGGATCAGGTGGGTCAGAATCTTTAAAATATCAATACTTAAAAAACAAGAATATGGTGGCGCACGCCTTTAATCCCAGCATAAGGGAGGCAGAGGCAGGCGGATCTCTGTGAGTTCAAGGCCAGCCTGGTCTACATAGTGAGTTCCAGGACAGCTGGGGCTACAGGGAGACCCTGTCTCAAAAAGACAAAAAAAAAAAAAAAAAAAAAAAAAAAAAAGAAAACAACAACAAAAAAAAACAAGAATAATTAAGCAACACAAAATAGGTTGGGAATGGTGGCACATATTTATAATCCCAGCATTGAAGAGGCAGAAATACAACCTCAAGTTCAAGGCCAGCCTGGGCTACAAAGTAAGATTCTGTATCAAAATCAAAAATGAACAATACAAAGAAAGAAGAACAAACTAAATGATTGTACCTAAGATCCTAATGTATGCTAAATTTAAAGAATTTGCGTATCTGACTCATTGTTTCTAGGGAGGCTGAAGCAGGCAGACTGCTATAAGCTCAGGGCCAGACTGAGGAGTAGAGTGAGTTCAAGGCCAGCCTGGTCTACATAGTGAGTTCCAGGACAGCTGGGGCTACAGGGAACCCTGTCTCAAAAATACTAAAAACTAATGAACAAACAAAATTTTATTTAAATGTTCTACCACACAGGTGATACATACACAGTATACACACATACACACATGCACATATGTATGTATGTATGTGTTTGTATTTTTGGTCTTTATTTTACCCTCTTATTTTAAGCATTACTTTCACTAACTTTTATGTATTATAAGTAAAAAATTGTTTTATTCACTATCACCACACAGTCAAAAGTAACACACATAAAATACATGAAAAGACTAACGAACGTTATGGCATTAGAAGAGAAAATCAAAATGCTTTATGGATCTTTATACTATGAATTCATAGTCTTGAAAGCAAGGGCTTTAGAGAATAAACCCTACTGATCTTGTTCCTTTGGGTGACTCTTACTTTTAGGAGGGGTAGAGCATTGAGAAAGGGTATTATATAGCTCAGGCAGGCCTTAAACTCACGATATCGTTGAAGAAGACCTTGAACTCCTGGTCCTCCTGCCACTACCTCCCAAGTGCTGGGATTACAAACAGGTGCTAGTATATGGGGCTAGTTTCTATTTTGTACGTGTGTGTAGCCTGTGCATGTGCATGCACATGTGTATGTCTGGGTACATGTGTCTGTTCCTACACATATGGAGACCAGAGATTGATGCCTCACTATCACTCTCCCCCCTCCCTTTTTATTTTTTTGTTTTTTGTTTTTGGTCTTCTCACTGAACCTGGGGCTCACCACTTTAGCTTGAATGGTTGGCCAGCAAGCTACCAGTTCTGTCTGTCTGTCTGTCTGTCTCTGTCTGTGTCTCTCTGTTCTCCCTCCCTCTAATGTTAGGGATGGAATCCAGGGCCTCAATTTGTCTACCATGTCACTACATTTCTAGCTTCACCCAGCTTGAAGTCAGAAGCTAAACTTACATCTTTTGTAGTACAAATTCTTTATTATAGGCCTCTGATAATCATTCTTACTAACAGAGGGACTAAAAGGGTGAAAGAAAAATAATCTTGTGCCATGCGTGATGGCACATGCTTTTAATTCCAGGAGAGGCAGGCAGATCTCTGTGAGTTCCAGGCCACGCTGGTCTACATAGTGAGTTCCAGGCCAGCTAGGAGCTACAGGGAGACCCTGTCTCAAAAATACCAAAAAAAAAAAAAAACCAACAACAGCAAAAAAAAAACCTGAAAAATAATCTTGTATTGTCATAGAGTTCATAGAGCAACCTCAATTACAGATCTTTGCCATTTTTTCAGTATTGAGGAGTGGTGTGGTGAGTGCATTTAATGAATCTGCATTCCATGGTATTCCAAAATGAGAAAATATATAGGACAATTGTACACAAAGAAAAAAAATGATGCAGAATTTATTTAATATGGTGACCCTGTCAAATAACCAGAGTCTGGCTGAATGAATACTTTGCTCTAGAAAGGAATTTAAGTATCAAATTTAATTTAGATAAGTTAAAAATAAGCATCTGAAGTTAAAGGATGCTCTTGCTTACTTGTGCAATTCTTTTTCTTGCCTCTGCAGTTCTGATGACAGCAAATCATTTTCTTTTTTCAGAGAATGGCATTCAGTTTCCAATGCATTCCATTCTTTTTTCAACTTCTCTAGTTCACCTAAAAAAGTCCCAAAACATATGTTAATATAGGAACAAAAATCTACCATAATTCAAAGGCTAAAGACCAATATTTCAGAGAACATATTTTCCCTAAAGGCATGCAGGTTTCTTACAGGCTATTCTTTGATTACTGTTACTTTGGAGTTATACCATAAGGAAATTCTATCACCTTGAAACTGCAGTGCTTTTTCCCTACTTCACTGTTTTAAAAATATTTTTATGTGTATGGGTGTATTGCCTGCATGTATCTAAATACACCTACGTCATGCAATGGCCGTAGAGGTCAGAAGAAGGTATCAGATGATCCCCTGGACCTGAAATTACAGAAGGCTGTTAGCTACCATGTGGGTGCTGGGAACTGAACCTGGGTCCTCTGCAAGAGTAGCCAGTGCTCTTAATCCCTACACCATCTCTCTAGCTCCTACTTCATTGTCTTAAGACCAATAATGTTTATGTTTGTTTTTGACACATAATCTCAAACTGTAATCCAGGCAGGCCTCAAATTCACAATCCTCTGTCCCTGCCTTCCCCAAATGCTGGGATTATAGGTGTGCACCATCATGCCATCAAATAATTTTTTTTAATATTTTATTTTTTTTATTTTATGTGTATGAGTGTATTGCCTGCATGTGTGTGAGTGCACCCATGTCCTGCAATGCCGTGGAGGTCAGAAGAGAGCTTTGGATTCCCCTGGACCTGAAGTTAAGGACAGTTTGTAGCTGCCATGTGGGTGCTGGGAATCGAACCCGGGTCCTCTGTAAGAGCAGTGTGCTCTTAACTACTGAGCCATCTCTCCAGCCCCAGTAATTTTTAATGTTATTACAAAGAATTCAAAGTACAAGAATATAATTTATTATAGTGTATAATGTATCATAGTACATGAATATAATTTATTATAGAAATTATAGACCTGAAAAATAAACTTATAGCCCTAGTACAGGAACAGTGATTTATATAATTAATTGCTATCAAGGAGGAAAAGTAGTCTGGTTATTCTGTAAGCATTAGCAGGTGTGGTATGGGAATCATTACTTGAGCTCAAGAGTAACTTGGGAAGACCCAGTCCCCACATTCCTACTCCTCCCCAAAAGCAAGAGTTCAGACTTTATGTAAAATACATTTACCCACCCTGCAGATTTGCTGTTCCCTCTCTGCTGGTCTTCACACCACTGACATGGAAGCTGAAAACTGTTTTGCAGACTCGTGATTTCTTTCTCATATTCAGATGCTGCTTTCTGCCACCTCTCAAGCTCAGCTCTCACCTTCTTAAGCTCTAAGCAAAGTCAGCGTCCTGCTCAGAGGCAGCCTTTGCTGCTGCTTGGTAAAGGAGCAAAATTTCATCTTGGGCATTAAGCAGTTTATCTCTAGTGCTTGTGATTTCACTGTCCTTCTCCTCCCGCAGATTCTCAATATCGATGTGCAACCTCTGGAGTTGGACTACAAAAGTATATTTACCCATCATTTCTCAGTCCGTAGGAATTAAGAATAATATCACAACATATTACAGGCTGCAGCTACTCCACAGGCTAGCTGTCACAGCAGGTTTTTTAGTTTTGTGTTCTTGTTTGCTTTGAGTAAACTGTACAAGAAATCCATGCTTGATACAGAAAATATCAGAATACAGATCCAAAAAGGAGAAGCCAAACACCTAAGGTAATCTTTATTTTCTCCAACACAGATAATATTGATTTTAATATTTAATATTTAGTCTCATTTTCCTATGCCTTTATACATATTTAAAAGTAAACATTAAGTAGAAAAGGATATATGTATGTATGTATATACATATGTATATAACAGATATTTCTCTACCTTTTGGCTGATGAAAATATTTGGGAGGTAGGGAGCCTGAGACAGGATTTCATTTAGCTCAGGCTGGTCTTGAACTCATGATCTTCCTGTCTCTATCTCCTAAGTGCTAGGATTACAGGTGTGTGCCAAGTCCAAATTAATGTCGTGTTACCAAATTCTAAGCTTTACCCTATTTCTTTAACTTCAAGTGTCTAATAATGGATTATTGAGAAAATCTTCTATTTTTTTTAAATAAAAAAGTCCAAAACCCAAGTTACAAGAGGTTTTAGAGAAGAGCCAAATGACGAATGGGGACTCTGTACTCCCACTCTCCACTCCTCTACCACTAAACACAAACAATAATCATCTCACACAGTTGTGGGATGTCCCATACCTTGAAGAACCTGTATTTGTTTAGCAGACTCCTCAACTTGATTTCGATAGGCTTTTCTTTCTTCTTCCAAAAGAGCTAAAAGTAAAAACAAAGTGTTTCTAATTTTGTGAATCAATGAAAAATATTCACTACTGAGCAGATGGAAAAGACACAAGAGTTAGGTAGTAAGTATTACCAGTAGTATCAGTATTAGTCATTGAGATTTGGGGAAAACAAAACAGTAGTGATACATCTTTAAAATCCAGTAATAGTGCTTTGATATACTATGTCACTAAGCTAATGTGTCATTCTTTACACAAAAAGTATCCTGATAACTGATAACCTTCGTTTTGAGCTGGGTGTGGTGGCATATACCTATAATTCCAACTACTGGAAGGCTAAGGTAAGAAAACAGCTACATGGTGAATCAAGGCAAGCCTGGGCCATATGAGATGACCCATACTCACACAAAAAGGGGGGGGTGCTAGGGATACGACTTAGTGGTAGTGTGCTTATCTACCATACATAAAGCCTGGGTCTAGTCCTCAAAATCTTTTTTTCAAAAAAATCTTAAGGGCCAGCATGGTGGCACACAGCTTTAATCCTAGCACTCAGGAGGCAGAGGCAGACAGACTTCTGTGAGTTCTGGTCTACATATCCTGGTCAGCCAGGGCTACACAGTGAGACCCTGCCTCAAAACAAAACAAAGCAAAACCAAAACAAAACACCACCTTAAAATCCTTATGGTTACCTTCAAACACAGTAAATGCTAAACGACGACTGAGAGCTAAATATTTTTTCATTGTAATTAAAAATTAGTGACATATCTTCAAAAGGTTCAAGTGAAAGGCATATCAATCAATCCAATTTTTTTTTTTTTTTTGCAGGTTTGGGAATCAAACCCAGGGTCTTGTACATGCTGGTTCTTTAAGAACCATGAAAGGTGGCCGGGTGTGGTGGCACACACCTTTAATTCCAGCATTTGGGAGGTAGCAGGCAGATCTCTGTGAGTTTGAGGCCAGCCTGGTCTACATAGTAAGTTCCCAGGCCAGTTGGGGCTATAGGGAGATTCTGTTTCAAAAAGACCAAAAAATTTTAAAAAATTAAAAAAGGACCAGGAAAGGAAGTAGTCGTAAGAACTGCCAGGTTTATTCTTGGGATTTGAGTTTTTCTCCTGCTCAAGAAGAGGATTTTAAGACTCTCCAAGATTTTAATTGCAAAAAGGCAAAGAACTTACCTTGCAGAAAGTAAGTTCTAGAAAATAGGACATACTCTACTGGCACGTAACACTATTGGATAAATGAACCACCAGAAAAGCAAGTACTCAAGATGAGAAGGTTCTATAGCTTTACTTTCTTTATTTTTTATTTTTAAGGGAGTCTTGCCATGCTACCTAAGTGGGCCTCAAACTTAGCATCCTTTTGCCTTTTACGTGTGCTTGGCTGAAAAGAGTCTATCTTAACCTTTCCTGATTCCTTACTGATAAATACACAAAACAAAAAGGTGAGCACTAACATTAAGTATAACTAAATATATGAGGGTGCTTCCCCTTCTGTTGCACAGGTTGACTGAGCATCCCTCATTCAGAAAAAAAAAGTATGAAATCTGAAATGGTATGAAATCTGAAATTTTTTATTCCAAGTATTTCAGATAAGGGATAGTCCATCTGTAATTAACATGTAATTAACTATTAAGATCTTTTGTTGGTAGAGATCTTAATGATTTTTACATCAACAACATAAAGGAGATAAGGTAGGTAAAGCAACTGTAACACTCCTCATTTTACAGATCTGAAACACAAGTTTAGAGCGGTTAAGTGAAAGTCTAAGGGCATGTCTAGTAAAGCCATGGCTCTGGAGCAACATACCAGGCTTCTGAGTTCCAAGTTTTGTGCCATTGAACTATACTGTGCTGCCTTCACATATCACCTAGTGAAGTGCAGTAATCTTGATCTCACCTTGAAGTTCAAAGCATTTTTGTTTACTTGTTCTAGCTAGCTCCTGGGCTTCGATCAATTCTTTGCGAAGATGCTGAATTTCTTGTTTTGCCTCAGTTTCTGACTGTGCGCCCTGCAAGTCATCTGACAAAAACATTTTTATTTTAAAAGCAAATGTTAGTATCATACTATGATCTCTATAATCAGAGACTGGCAATCTTCTTTATCTTTAGACAAGCATAGTTAATAACACAGTACAATTGAGTTAAATAAAACTTAGAAGCAAATTATAGTAAGGGAATTAGTTACTTTACCATGAAGAATATACAGTTAATACAGATACTAGTACTATAAAATACACAAATTAACATATATTTAATTGATGTAGAGGATATATAAGACTTGAAATTCATTGAGATAGGTATAACATTGTTCTCCATCAATTTTTATTACATTTATTTATTTACTCATGTGTATGTGTGTGTAAGGTCCCTTTTCCATCAATTTTGAAATTTGACAAGACAGAAAATTTTCACTTGGAACCTATATGGAAATTAAAAAAAAAAAAAACAGAAATTCTTCAGGAAAAATCTATTTGAGGACCGACAAGATTTGAAAGCAGGTCTGACAAGCTAAGTTCAATCCCAAGATCCCACTAAACAGGACAAACCAAAGTCCCAAGAGCTGTCTTCTGACCTCCACACATGTACCTGCTCATGTTTCTTTCTCCCTTCCCCACAACTCAAAATTAAAGCAAAAAATTTTGTTAGGTATTTAGTACAATGCTAGTTATAGAATACAAATAAAAACTAGGCTATAAGCTTCAGTGTACCTACTTTGTCATCATCATGTCCCCAGCATCACACACACAGCAAGCAGATAAATATTTGTGGAATTGTTGCAACCTAAGTGGTTTAACTGAAAGAAATTTAATCCAGCATTACATCTCAACTATGCCACTTCCCCAACCTCTTTCCTCTCTAGTCATTCTGCTGCTCATCTTTTATTGTATTCAAACTTTTGGTGAGCTGAAGAGACGACTCAGGGGTTAAGAGTGTTTGATGATCAGTCATGAAAACTAGAGTTCAGATTCCAGCACCCAAGCTGGGTGTTTTCTTTCTTTCTTTTTTTATATTTTATTTATTATTTTTTAAGTTTTATGTGTATGTGTATTGCCTGCATGTAGGTAAGTGCACCCGTGTCGTACAATGCCCACGGAAGGCAGGCTGTCAGATCCCCTTGAACTAGAGTTACGGACAGTTGTTAGCTGCCATGTGGGTGTTGGGATTCAAACCCAGGTCTTCTGCAAGGACAGTGTTCTTAACCACTGAGCCATCTCTCCAATCCCCAAGCTGGGTGTTTTCAAATACCTCTAACTCTAGCTCCAAGAGATCCCATACCCTCTTCTGGTCTCTGAGTAGACTCAGGCAAGAATACCCACACACACATGTGCATACAGTCATATAGACACATACATACACATATACAATTTTTTATTTTAATCGTGACTACTGAACATTGACAAACATGAAGTCAAACATTGCATTCTAATGGTGTTTTACACTATTTATTTACAAGTAGTTCAACTATACTGCACAGCAAGTTCCAAGCTAGCCTGAGTTATAGCATGAGACTTTGTAACCAAAAAGAAAAAAAGTAAAGATTCAATAGGAAACTAAACAATAAATATATACAGAATGGTAGTCATGAAATTCTTTGGCCACTACTACAGTAGTAATTCACCAGGCAAGTTGCATTCATATGTGGTAAACTTATATGGTAAAAAGTCTGAGGTTTTTATAGGATAAGCATACAGTCTAGCAGTAACTCCTCACAAGATGCTCACTAATTACAAAATAAAAACAGTTGCTTTACAATGGAGAAACCTGGGCGACAACACCTTCATGAAACAGTCAGCTGTTAGAAGTCAGGAATAACAGAAGAGTTCATTGTCAGGCATCTCCTGACACCTAAAATTTCTGCCCCCAAAATGCATAGCTGGAATCTGATCAAGAGGAGATATTAGACACCCAAACTGAGTGACATTTTGATTGTTCCGTGCTGTTAAAAAATGCGAATGTCATGAAACACTAAAAAAAGAAAGGCTAAAGGAGAATAAAGAGACATGACAAACACAGTGCACAGTTCAAGACTCTCATCATTGCTGAGGACATTACTGAGACCGCTGGGAAATGTGAGAGAGGTCTACAGAGGAGTAAAGTAATTTAAGCAACATTAACTTCTTAGTTTTGAGAATAGTATGGTAGTCATGTAAGAGAAACAGGAAATGCATACCAAAGTATTTAGCAGTAAAGGTTATCATGGCTGTAATGAGTTCTGAATGATCCAGGAAGAAAGGGAGAAGGATGGGAAGAGGAAGGAGAAAAATAAAGATAAATAAAACTTGGCAAAGTGAATAAATAGAAGAGAAATGCTACATTTGGAGAATTTGAATGAAGAATATATAGGATTCTTTGTCCTAATGTAACTTTTCTGTAAGTCTAGAATTATGGTAAAGTGAAAAAAAACTTAAAGAAAAAATTCTGCACCTATAAATATAGGTGAAATATATAAATAAATATATAGTGAAATATTAACACTAATTTAGGTAGTAAGCATATATTGGTGATTTTGATGCTCTTCAATTTTTCCCATGTTGGGACTTCTTCATAACCAAAAAACAGCTCCTTAAATTACCAATCCTAATGCTACCATTTTATGATAAGCCCCAATCATTTCTGACTAAACTACTTGCATCAACTTATCTTGCCCCTCTGTATTTGTTATTTTAAGCATAGTGAGAAAATGAATTACTGAAACAACTAAAGGCAGGGAGTTTTGCTTTAATGGGTCCTCACAAATGAAGAAACAGAGAAACCATCTCTAGAGTCTGTAAGCAGATTAATTCTTCTCCACAGCAAAATACTTCCCTTCCTTGATCAGTTATCTATGCAATAAAACTAACACAGTACTTCCTTTTCAAATGAAATACTAAAGAAGCAGGTTTTATACTAAAAAATACATTTTAAGAGACAATATAACCAACACATAATGAATTGTACTAACACAAGGTAACTATTATTTGCAAATTCTCTGAGCCATATAAAGGATCAACATTTTAATTAAAATAAATAAGATGCCATGTATCAAATTATACAACACACAAGCGCTTCAAGAGTATTTAGCCAAAGAAGTAGAGCTACTAACCAAAAATCTTTACAAATTAATTTTGGTATAATAGACACAAATGACCCCATTCAAACTGATCAAGTAGTTAGTGCACAGATTCTCTTTGCAGACAACCGAGTGTCAATTTTTATCAAAGAGTAATGAGCAAATCCTTTCGTGCTAAGGTTGATTAAGCACTTGTTTTTCACATGGTTGTGTGGGAAAATGCTTTATTAGTTTACTGTGGCTCAGGTCTACTCTCATGGGTGCCACTTTTGTTCCAAAGAGGCAGTTTTTGTATCCATCAGCTTTATAACCTAGGGAAAAATCTGGTAATGAGTCTTAGTGGAAAATGTTTAGACAAGGGTAAATGAAACTTTCCACAGCCCAATTTATTTATCTTCTCTTTTGCAGACTGAGTCTTGTTATTAAGCTCAGGCTGGTCTCAAACTTGCAATCTTCCTTTAACCTTTCAAGGATTAAGGATTATAGGCACATACCACAATACCCAACTCCATTTTATTTAGATGAAGAAGTCAAATGGACATAAATGTTATTGAGGAGTTATGATATGTGAAAAAGATGAATAGAGCTGTTTTTGTCCAGCCTTCCTAGCCTTAGAAGGCAGAAGCAGGAGGATCTTGAATATAAGACAATAAAATCAGTATTTTATTCTTAACACTAATGATGTATCTCTAGAACTGCCTCTGACTATTATGACTGATATATCCTCATCATGTAGTGTGGACCACAGGAGTCCTGATATCCTGTGTTCAGTGCCCAGTGTACATCGAGGACAATGCTATGACACTGGTGTTTGAGAAGTCAGGCCACAAGCCAGCTTTCCCAGCTCTACGCTAAATCCTATACATTCACATTAGGCCTAAATCAAATAAATTCACTAGCACTGGCTCACAGAATATCTATATATACCTAAATTAAACTTGGCTTTACCAAATTAAGTTCAGGAGAGATTGGAAATTCAACTTCAACTCTACTCTCTATTGTACACATTACTGAAAAACACTGAACCACTTAAGGGCCAAATCAAAGTATTTTCCCCAAGATCTATTTTGCATGTGCATGCTTGATCTGCCTACAACATATACTATCACATCAACTGATAGGAGTGATCTAACTGAGGCAGCTGGCCAGATGGGCACATTTTCTTTCCACCACCATCAGTTTTCCCTTTTTTAGATCGAGCAGTTCTAGATTTGGTTTTTAAAAATCGCCTTCAACAGAGAGAGACAAATTTTCCATCATGAATTTGGGTGGCCATGTGAAAATCCCAGGCAGCGGTCTGACTGCAAATTTAACTTTGGCAATGGCCTTATACCTTACCTACTTCCTCTCCTTCTGATCAGCCAAATTCCTTCATAACACTTGGTTCCTTTGTCAGCTCTTTTAATCATTCCCATCGCTCTTTTCTTGTCCAGTATTTTCTCCTGCCACCAGCATCCATGCTTACATAGATTTCTAAGTTGAGATATTGCCTTCTGTCTGACCAAGCCTTATGTTTAACTACATTGCCCCACAGGGCTTATATTTTACCACACTGTCCTCCTATACAAATGACTCCTAAGAGATGTTATTCCTTCTGTAAGTAATATTCCTATTTGGGAACATCAGTACTATTTTAGTTCCTTCCCCTTATTGAATTTATTGAAAAAGATTCATTATCAACAACTGCTTTTTGGCTAAAACATAAAGTAGGAAATACTTTAACACCCTGTAATATTATTCAATTAATGAAGAATTACTCCATATTCCTTTGTTTGGTTGGTTTTCATTTTAAAATTTTATTTCTTTTTGTTTTTAGAAACTGAGTCTCACGCAGCTCAGGCTGGCCTGAACTCACTATGAAGCCGAGTTCAAGCTTTTTGAACTCCTTATCATCTTTCCTCTACTTCCTAAATTCTGAATTAGAAGAACACAGCAGCACTCTTGGCTCTCGAAATTCTGTAATGCACTCATCTGCTTCAACAGTTACTATCATTGGGGCTGGAGACATGGCTCAGTGGTTACGAGTACTGACTGCTCTTGCAGAGGACCTGGGTTTGAGTTCCAGCACCTACATGGCAGCTAACAAACTGTCCATAACTCCAGTTCCAGGGGATCTAACACCTCTGACCTCACAGGCACTGCAGGACATGGGGGTACTTACACACATGCAGGCAATACAGGCATACACATAAAATAAAAATAATAAATAAAAATATTTTTAAAAAACAGTTACTATCATTACCATCATCATGTGTCTTCATTATGATGGTTTATATATTATATTCAGTGCACAATGGTACATGGTCCACATCTTATTTAATCTTCAGGATAATTTTATGAATTAAGTTTTCTCTAGTCTAATAAATGAGAAATAATCTGACGTACTAAGGAGTTAAAACAATAGCCCAACAACATATTACAAATAAGTGGAAAAGCTACAATTTAACTCAGTTTTTGCACTTGGCTTTGACTAGAGTGTGGCAGTTTCCTAATGCTGTGGTGATTTAAATCTTTGGTAAAAGAAGTTTACTATCAATGTGATCATCAAATTATCTAAATTTTAATGAATACCCAGCATTGTAGATGGGATAAAAGTAGAATCTGAAACAGATGGGTTAAAAATAAAATAAAAGGAACTGGAAAGAAGGCTCAATGGTTAAGAACACATATTACTCTTCCAGAATTCAGTTCCCAGCACCTACGTGGGTGGCTCACAACTCCAAGCAACTCTAGCTCCAGGGGACTTGACTCTTCTCTCTGGCTTCCTTGGGCACTATACTTACCTACACACACACACACACACACACACACACACACACACAGATACACAATTAAAAATAAAATAAGTTAGTGTGGTAGTCCCAGTACTCAGGAGGCAGAGGCAAGCAGAGCTCTGTGAGATCAAGGCCAACCTGGTCTACATAGCAAGTTCCAGGATAGCTGAGGCTATAGGGAGACCTTGCCTCAAAAAAACCAAAAATAATAAATATAAAATACAAAAATATGAATTAAAAAGCACCAATAGCAATTGAATACAATTAACACAATCAAAATGCTACTTATAAATTAATCAGAATTTAGCAGGTAAAAAGACTTATAAGATTTATGTAACATAAAAACTACATGAATTGCTGTTTTTGTATGATGGGTGTTTTACTTAATTATCTCCTTTCTTATTTTCCCATGTTCCCATTAAAATGCCTAGGTTCTGTTTCCCACGCCCCAGTATCAGCACTTTTCCTTCCTTCCCTCCACCCCTCCTTGTTCTCTCCCTCTCTCCTTCCCTCCCTCCCTCTCTCCCTCTCCCTTCCTTCCCTCCACCCCCCCTTGTTCTCTCCCTCTTTCCTTCCCTCCCTCCCTCTCTCCCTCCCTCCCTTCCTGTGGCAATGGAATGCCCCTTTCCCCAGTATCACCTTATTTGTTTGCTTCTTTGTTTTGCAGAGCTTGGAATCAAACCCAGGTAGATAAGTACTCTACCACTGAGCTATACCCCAGTCCCTTTTTCCAGTATCAGTAATATTTAAATAATAATGATATTGTATTTCTGAGATAAGGTCAGTGTAAACATTAGCTTATATTTACTACTATGAGAGGAAAAATACCATGCCTTATCAAAACCAATAGTCCCCTATAAGCAGTACAGATCAGTAAGAGTGCTGAAAGACAAATTGCTAATTGTTGCCCGGACCAGCAACCATCAGGAACTTCCTTGGTTGTAGAAGTCAGTTAAAAGTAGTTCAGGAAGCCATGTGATTTTCAGTGTCCATGCAGAAGAAAAGATAAAGTAAGGATGAAAGGACAATGAGAGAATCTGAGAAAACACACTGTAGTCCCTGGCCATGTCCTAAAACTAGGCCAGCAGCAAGGTCATGCAGGGTAAATGCAAGCTTCCTTCCTCATATCTCAAGATTCAGAGTCTGGACTATGATGTCCTGTCCCTTAAATACCCAGCCAGAACACTAGGTACTTGTACAAATAGAAACTTCCACAGGCTAGCACTGTTGTTCTAGTCCCAGAGAGCTTCCTGACTCGTGTTAGTCCACAACTACCCATGTTTGACCTGCTCGCCTTAACCTTTCTTGTGTAGAATAAGGCAGTGAATAATAGAATACAGGCTGAAAAATCACAGGTTTATCAGTATGTCTCCAAACACTTTACTTTAAAAAACTTTCGTAGACATTGATATTTCCTACCTGCTTTATTTTAAACAAGTACCAAGAAGTAAAC